AAAAACAAATCATTGCCTGCAAGGTGGATTTTGTTTCCTTTGGGCAGAGCCAGGCTGTCTTTATGCTAAGCTACGCTACCTGACTGCTGTTCACTGTACTTACATGAGGACAGTATCAGTCTCCATCTTCGGGGGGACGGATGCTCCAGTAGGCAGCTGGCCGTGGATGGTCCACCTCAACATGACGGCATCTGACAGCAGCACTAGGTGGCGTTGTGGCGGCACCCTCCTCAACAGCAACTGGGTGCTGACTGCTGCACACTGCGTGGATAAGTAAGTGTGACTTATTGTTTTCAGATGTTTTTTCATGTGACCCAAATGATCTTTCACAGTAGCAGCAGGAGACCAGTGATTACTTTTAACATTTAGGTCAAGACTCCTGTGCTGCTTTTCATTGAGCCACTCAGGGCTCATGTTGTGGAAAAACATGTTGACTGATGGATGAATTCAAACCAACTCACATAAAGTGCTGATTGTGTAAATGTTCACGTCAAACCCATGACGCTTCCTTTTCTCCCTCAGTCATGTTTCTCAGGTTTGGTGGCACAGCTGGTCTATGAAAGCACAACACCGATCTATGGTGCCTTTAATATAATATAAATACACTATCCAAACTATTCTATGTAATGCAATATGTTTCCTTCACTGCTACGTTTACTAAAAGCTCGACAATTTCACTCAGGTTTTCAATACTGGACTGACAACGTCGATTCAGTTCAAGCAGCAACAGTACGAGGCTATTGTGGTGTGAAATGTACAAATCGTCTGATTGGATTTATTCACCAAACTGTCTAAATGTTAGAAATGTTACCCTAATATGGATTTACAGATATATTTTACTTAACAGGTAGACAATCTTGTCTTCAATCAATAACAATAATAATCATAAAAAACTTTATTTTGACATTAAGTTACAGAAGAGCGTTCATTTTAACTTCTCTTTTGACTGTTCTTGCTCTCTTCTTGGTCTCCACCAAGTCCTAAAGGCAGATTTTGGTCTTCTAGCTGCTAAATGCTCCTCTGTGATCACCACATAGAGTCTCTACTGCATGTCTACTGGTTGCTGTTCATCAGATAATGTGCGGTTGTTGTTTTTTTAAGCTTTTCCTATGAGAAACTATGAGAAGTGGTTGGAGTGAACCAAATATTAAGCTGCATATTAGAAATATCTGAACAGTCCAGTAAACAATTTGCTGGTTAATTCCTGCAATTTAGCAGGCGTATGTATGAGGTACTTATCCTTCGCCAGTATACTGGCCACAGTAGATGACGGTCACTCATTTTGCTCCGCCCACAACAACTGTAATTGATTGAAAGAAATACAAACAAGC